GGCATAATCATTACATTCTTAAAACCAGATATATGAATGAAATACTTGAAATCTGTTCCCTTTATGTAAATAAAATTAAAATGTCCAGCTATCAGTTAATGACATTACAATGTGGTGTATCTGCTTCAGAAAATGCAACATAACAATTAAAATAAACACTAGCAACTTGAGAAATGTTTTAAATAGAAAACAAAGAGGTAAACATTTGCTTAGTGATTAAGACACCCACATCCCAGTTGGAATGCCTGGGTGTGAGTTCTGGCTTCCACTCCTGATGCAGCTTCCTGCTAGTGTAGATCTTGGGAAGCAACAAGTGATGACTCAAGTGATTGGGGTCATACCTCCCTTGAGGGTGGCATGGATTGACCTGTGATTCCCAGTTTCAGCCTTGGCAGAGCCTCAGCTGAGCCTGGGCAGTTGGAGGTATTTGGGGAGCAAAATAATGGGCCATTGAATTTTGGTTTTCACTTTGTTCTATTGGCTTGCCATCATTATAGTCAGTCTATAATTTCAAATGGGCCATTTCCTTAGTCTTAACACTATTTACCAATCTAAAACTCTGCAGAGGAAAAATTTCATTGATTTGCTGTAGAATCTTTATGAGAAAGACATGCTGATTTCCTTCTTGGCTGCCATTCATCTACTTCCACTGTCAGAGTTTAGGAAAACTCCTATATGAGGGTACTTCAGAAAGTTTGTGGAAAATGAATTTAAAATACGAAAACTTATGTTTTGGTGCAAAAAAAATGAAATTATCCATGTTTTTTATAATGTGCATTTTCTGTAAACTTTTGAAGATCCCTCATATGCATGGATTTCAAAATAGTTGCATCAAAATAAACTTTGAATTCAATTTTCAAATAATGTTTGAAGTACCCTCGTGCTTGATATTGCAATCCCTAAAATCTGCCTTACTCTTCACCCTTGTCTTATTTTTTTTATGCATCAAAACAATACCTCATCTTCCTTTTTATAGAGCTTTTATTTTTAAGATTTATTTTAATTTATTTGTAAGGCAAAGTTAAAGAGAGGCAGAGAGAGAGAATGTCTTCCATTCAGTGATTCACTCCCCAGTTGGCCTCAACGGAGAGCTGAGCAGATCCGAAGTTCATCTGGGTCACTCACATGGGTAACAGGAGTCCAAGTATATGATCCTACCAGGGTACGTCAGTAGGAAGCCAGAATGGAAGTGGAGTAGCTCGGATTTGACCCAGCACTCCGATATGGGATGGAAAAACTTCAAGGGGCTTAACCCTCTGTACCACAAAGCCTGGCCCATTTTCTGATAAACTCAAGGGTGTCCAATGAGAACTAACAAAGTCCACATCAACATTAATTGTTGTAAATATTTAGATTATGCTCTCATGTTGAATGTTCATATCTTTCTTGAGTTTTGTTTATTCACGAATTACACACTGGTTGAATATCTCCTATCTGAAATTCTTGGGACTAGAAGTGTTCTGGATTCCAAATTTTTTTCATATTTTGGAATATTTAATTATACATAATGAGATATGTAGGAGTAAACACAAAATTCATTTATGTTTTGTGTATACCTTGTACATAAAGGCTGAAGATAATCTATACTTAATACAACTGGTTTTGACTGTGACTATCATATAATGTCAGATGTGCAATTTCCTTTAGTGACATAATGACTGTGCTTAAAAGATTTCAAATTTGCTAGTATTTCATATTTTCTGTCAAGCATTCTCAACCTGTATCACATTAAAAGAGTTAAGTTCTGATGCTTCTCTTCCCATTGGAGTGACAGAAAGAATTAGTGAAACTTTATGATTCCTTGGTGAGAAAAATCACCTCCCTTTGATGAAGCATTTTGGTAAATTCTTCAGAGAATGAGGAACACTCTGCATAGATATTTATACCAAAGGACAGGACACATACTAGGTATATTACTAAAATGTCATGCTGAAAACATCTCACAAATATAATGAGCAAATGCAGATCTCTTGTCTCGAAGTAAGATCAGACTAGGCCAACATTGGAGCTTTTGTGATCCTTGGTTTCAAAAAGCAATAGAAATATTAATAAAAATTCCAGTCTCCTATAAAATATAGTGCAATACATTGCAGTTGAAGCAGCAATGGATAACAGTAACTTTGCCAGGCCTGCATTTCCACAATAGCATTCTTACATCATTGTACCTCAGATATGCTTCAGATACTTTTAACCCAACTTATATACTATTTTGCATTATGAACCTATTACATTGAACAGTCATAGCCTGAGGAAATGGTTCCTCTAGAAAAGCTTGCCTTTCCTCTCAAGCAGCAGCTTCCACCCTGGAAGAGATGATCAATTGCCACATTTTCTTTTTTGTTGATGGTTTTGGGCATTGTAGCTCTTACTAAGTGCCTTAGTATTTTGGCTCACTGACTTGAGGTGCTCTGTGAATTCAACTTATAAATAACTAATGAAGACCTTGTTTTGTGATTGAAATGATGGGCAAGTTTGGCTGACCCTTTCGATTTTCAAGTCCCTGGTGGTAAGGATGATATTCATAACCCTTTCCAGCCTCCTCCTGCCTGTGCTGTTTGAAGTAAACTACAATGTGTTGACTCTCATGACCTGTTCAATGCCCATAGTTCCTCAGTTCTAACAGACTTCACTTATTGGCAGCAGATGACACCTCTCTTGAACTATGTCTCATTTCATTTATTCTCCTTTCCAGACATCTTTAGTTTTCCCCCAGCAAGTTTCTAAATCATTTTTGAGCACTTTAACTGTCTAAAGTAGACAATATTCCCAGTACTAGAGAATACTTTAAATTTGGTTTAAATATCATTTTCCCCTAAAATTTGATAGTCTCCAATGTCTTTGAATAAATATTTAGAAGCAAGTCTGTCCTAATTTTATTATTTTTGTATATTATTTTCTAAAAAGAGATTATAACATTTTCTTCTAAATGTGTAGAGATGTAATGTTATGAAATAGCCTATTATAGATTTTTAAAATTATTTTCTTCCTGTTTGACTTTTCTCATGTTTTACTTTCACATTAGATTTTTTTTTACAAACTTTTAAAGCAATTACAAGGCTATAATTCATGTAACAGTGTCACAAAATGTGTAACAATCACAATTATAAGTCAATAATGCAATTTCTCTTTATAGTGGATAACATAATCACAATCTTGTTCACTGACAAATAGTTTTAGAAATAAATGAGTAAATTATTCCATTATTTTTCCTCTGACTTTTTGTTTCTCAAATGGGCTGTCATGAAAATGTCTGCTATATATGTGGATGCAAGATAAATAATACAAAATGTTTGAACCTATGAATTACATAAAGGAGCTAACACTTCTGCAGTTTATTTCTTTCATTGTTTAATGAAAATGCATTGCTTTTGGTGAGTCTCATTTTTTTCACTTTTTAGGGCTTCGATTGATATTCTCTTTTGTTAGAGAAATTTTCTCTAGCTGACTATAAAATTTCTCTAGTCTCAATTTACATATCTAGCATGTGAGTAGAATAATAAAATGCATCCTGACAATTATGTATGGGCGGAACTTTAATAAGCGAACTTTTGTCCTCATCCCAGCTCCATGTCATCCAAACTCAGTCTCCTTTACTCTATAGTCACAGAAGCTTTTGATTACTTAAAATTCCTTACAGAGGGAAGACACCGTATTGATTTCTCTTTCATAATTCTTTTTGTTATTTACTTACTTCTTTATTTGTTTATATAAACAAAGATGTCATATATTTCTTTTTTTTCTCTCTATTTTTTTTTTTTTTTTGACAGGCAGGGTGGATAGTGAGAGAGAGAGACAGAGAGAAAGGTCTTCCTTTGCTGTTGGTTCACCCTCCAATGGCCGCCACAGCTGGCGCGCTGCAGCCTGCACACTGCGCTGATTCGATGGCAGGAGCCAGGTGCTTATCCTGGTCTCCCATGGGGTGCAGGGCCCAAGCACTTGGGCCATCCTCCACTGCACTCCCTGGCCACAACAGAGAGCTGGCCTGGAAGAGGGGCAACCGGGACAGAATCCGGCGCCCCGACAGGGACTAGAACCCGGTGTGCCGGCACCGCAAGGTGGAGGATTAGCCTAGTGAGTCGCGGCACCGGCCTAGATGTCATATATTTCGTATATATAATTTTAAACCCACAAAGACACTCCCACTCTTCTCCTACCTTTCTTTTTCTGAAGTTTTTCAATAACATTCTTTCAACTTACTTTATAGTCAGCTGAGTTTCTTTCTTTCCCATGGGGCTTTGTTTTCTGATTCGATGGTAGTTTTTTAGCTTTGATATTGCATATTCTTTTCCTTTTCTAAAGCTAGTGTGGTAATAGGTATTTGATGTGTAAGAGGAATATTTCTGTTCATAAGAATGGTAAAGAAATATATTTGGTAGAAAAGGTCAGCACAATTTAAAAAGATTTTTTTAAGATTTATTTATTTATTTATTTGAAAGTCTGCATTACAGAGAGAGAGACTTTCCATCCACCGGATTCACTCCCTAGATGGCCACAATGGCTAGCGCTGGGCCAGGCCAAAGCCAAGAGCCAGGAACTTCCTCTGGATCTTCCAGATTGATGACAAGGGCCAAACCACTGGGGGCATCTTCTGTTGCTTTCTCGGGCACATTAAAAAGGAGCTAATTCAGAAGTAGAGCAGCTCGGACACAAACCAGTGGCCGGATGGGATGCCACTGTCACAGTTAGCAGCTTTACCCCCTATGCTACAATAACGGCCCCAATTACAACAATTCTATGGCACTATTGGACCAAACTCTAGAAATGAGATCATATTGGGGGGTAAGATTCTAATGATCAGAAAGCATAGTCTATACGAAGCATCCTGTTTCCTTAGTGAAAAAATCAATCTGCCAATAAACTCACGCGTCTGAATATTAGAGAACTGTGACAAAAAGCATTTAGGGTAATTTTCTGCCATGTCATTAGCTTATTAATTTAAATCATTTGATAAAACAATTAGGCATCAAACCAATTCTCTGTGCCTTTTGTGTTTTGTGAAGGTTGTTTGATTACCACGGGCGTGTGCCTCCCCCTCCTCGTGCAGTCATCCCCCTGAAGCGCCCCAGAGTGGCTGTCACCTCAACTCGCAGGGGAAAAGGAGTCTTTTCCATGAAAGGAGGATCAAGATCTGCTGTCAGTGGGTCTTCATCAGGCTCTAAGTGTAAGTAATGTTCTTTATGCTACTTCCCTTTAAAGAAGGGTGAGGAGAACTATCAATGCCTGTATTCAATCAATTGACCAGAAAGTTATGGACTGACAAGTATTACAGAAACATAAAGTGGACAAAAAAATTTCTGTTTTCCCAAATACTACATTGCAGAAGAGGAGAAAGACACAAACTTGACCAACAAAAACCCAAGACCAATGCTGAAAATATTTTTTCACAACTAACATTGTGCTCTTGGGTCACTTAGGTTGCAACATGTTAAAGTCCTGAAGTAGAATATTTTGCTTTAAATGAGTAAACAATTTCACAATTAAAGGAGGAAAATGTTATGTGAAATTAGTGCCCTTTTTAAATATTTGAGGATTAGGATAGTTAAAATAGACATACTACACCGTAGAGATGTTAAAAGCATAATTTAAGATGCCATTCAAATCATTATGAGAAATATGTGCCTGAAAAAGATATTTAATATCATGAAAATAAAATGACATTTACATATTTTCACATTAATTAGTAGAAATTAGAGATGCAACCTTCCATCTAAACTCATTGCCAGCTTTATATACAAATATATTCAGAAAAGTCTACAATTTGTTACCGGAATATTGTTCCTAAGGAAATGACAACAAAATTTCCTATATTTCTTGGTATTACATGCCAGCCAAGAGGAAAGAAACAATAAACTGATGTCTCATCGATATGTTAAAGAATAAAGCAATAGACACTTTTGGGAGCACTCTATTTCAAAGTATGGTCTATAATAGCCTGTGTGACAATTGTTGAGCCAAACCCTGAAGGAAGTGAAGGAATAGCGAAGTGGTCTCTGAAGGTATCAGGGGCAGAGTGTTCTGGACAGGAGAGAATAGTCAGGACAGAGACTTTAAGTTGGAGAAGTCAAGGAACAAGAAAGATAGTAAGACTGCAGCAAAATGAGGAAAGGGTACATATGCTTGGACATTAGATAAGAGTGTAGAGGGAGGACAAGCTCCAGTGCAGGTTGGTACAGCAGTGCAGGATTTGATTTTTGCTGTCTGTCTCAACACTTTTAAGACAAGGCTAGAGATAGGCCGGCGCCGCTGCTCAATAGGCTAATCCTCCACCTAGCGGCGCCGGCACACCGGGTTCTAGTCCCGGTTGGGGCGCTGGATTCTGTCCCGGTGCCCCCCTTCCAGGGCTAACTCTCTGCTGTGGCCCGGGAAGGCAGTGGAGGATGGCCCAAGTACTTGGGCCCTGCACCCCATGGGAGACCAGGATAAGCACCTGGCTCCTGCCTTCGGATCAGCGCGGTGTGCCGGCCGCAGCGCGCAAGCGTGTGGCAGCCATTGGAGGGTGAATCAACGGCAAAAAGGAAGACCTTTCTCTCTCTCTCTCTCTCTCTCACTATCCACTCTGCCTGTCCAAAAAAAAAAAAAAAAAAAAAGACAAGGCTAGAGCTGATGTCATGGTGTAGCAGATTCAGCTGCCACCAGCAATGACACCAACATACCACATGGGTGCTGGTTTGAGTCCTGACTGCTGCTGCACTTCCTATCCAGCTTCCTGCTAATGTGCCTGGTAAGACAGTGGAAGAGAGCCCAAGTGTTTTGGCCCCTGCATCCTCAAGGGAGCCCTGAATACAGTTCCAGTTTCGTGGCTTAGGTCTGGCCCAGCCCCTGCTGTTGCCGTCATTTCAGGGATGGACCAGCAGATGGACTATCTCTTTCTCTCTTTCTCTTCTCTGTAGCTCTGCCTTTCAAATAAATAAATTAAACTCTTTTGAAAAGACAACTAAGGCAAATATAGTTATCCTAGCTTCACCAGTAAGCAAACACAGATCAATTGGTAAATGGTAGAGCCAGAACTAGAACCCAGGTCTCTTATTCTCATACTCACATGCTATCTACTATAGAATGATGTCTTTTACCTTTGTACCATCAGAAATACTAGGAAAAAATAACTATTGAAGTATTTTGAAAGTTTTGCATGAAAGCAAGAAGGTACTAATGCTTCTGGAAATCTAAAGTTTAGTGAGCTCAGAATTTCACTGAAAATGTAACTTAGCAAATACAGCCTCAATAGCAAACTAAATGCTATTTACATGTTCATTTAACAAAATAGATGACAGATATAAGATTTGATAGATGATAGATACAAATAATCCCTGATTTAATCTTAGTAATAAAAGCCAATGATTTTTCTACTTGTACGTGCTTGTACTTGCTCAGATTGTTGTGAAAAGCAAAGTTTCTTGAATTTGTTTATTGCTATGGAAAACTGAAAATTTAATTGCCTGCTAGGTTTGTTTATAGAACACCTATTGCTGTAGTTAGCAACTTAAACTTAATTTCAAGTAGAAATATCTAAAACATCATGGATTCTTTGCTTTGTGTTGCTTTGTGGTCAATTTCTAAGCAGGCCTTCTCAATGGATAAGTTGGTGTGTTGGCCAGGACAGTTCTACATTGTTTAAGAAGATTCTGGGCTTTGCAGGGCATTTAGTGTTCCTGACCCTCAACCCCTAAATACCAGTAGCACTCTTCAATATTTGTGACAACTATTTCATAGTCTTACACATTTCTTAATGTCCCCTGAAGGGGTGATACACAATAGCTTAGAACCACTGATTTAGAAAAATATTTGACTTACTTTGTGGCTATCCTCTGGCAGGTGCAACTGTATAGGAATCAGCCACTTCATCGCCATACTTCCCAGTGTTGCTAAGAAGAGCAATAATTTCCAGAGGTTATTTTGAAGTAAATATCCTAATATTTAAATGGCTATATTGGTTTTAGTCATTTTATTCTTTGATTTCTTGTTTTTGTTGTTTTTGTTGTATAGTGAAGAGAGTATGGAGACTATGAACAATATCAGTTTAGGATCTTAAAAATTTCTCTTGGGCCTGTAATAATCCGATTTTCTAAATAGACACATAAGCAGAATATGCTGTCCACTTTTGCAACAAAATTGTGGAGTTGTTCTAGCTTTTCAGTAAAATTATCCAAATCCTCTTTACCCTTGATTCTTTGGTGGCAAGTTAACATGTCAGATTCTGAAAGTGATATCCTGTATCATGAACATGATTTTATGAAGTTCTTTCTCTTGAGTGTTTTATATCCTATGATGCTTTCATTTTTCCAGGTTTGTAATCATGATGATCATGATGACGATGATAGAAGGAATCATAGCTGACTCCATTTTAGTATTTGCTCTGTGGCAGCTGTTATTTTAAGCTGACATAATAATTCATGTAGTCCTCATAAATAACCTATAAGTGAAGTACTATTATGATTTTCATTTTACAGATATGAAGGTTAAGTCATAGCCCTAGAATCACAGAGCAATTAAAGAACAGAGTGAGGAACTACAGCAGGGCGGTCTGTGTTTGGAGTGTAAGCTCTTGTGCCTGTAACCTTTCAGTACTGCCTCTCTAACTTCTTGAGAAATTATACATTTGCAGTTTTAACATTCCATTTAGTATTATTTCTTGACTTAGTTGAGAGGTAGGGAAACAGGCAGAAAGACAGAACTCCCATCCAATCCCCACATTCCCAGAACAGCCAGGATTGGTCTAAGGCTAGACCAGGGCTAAACCAGGATCCAAGAATGAAATCCAAGTCTCCTACACATGCAGCAGGGACCCAATTACTTGAAAAATCATTGCTGCCTCCCAGGATTTATATTAGCAGTAGAGTAGATTAAGGAGCTGAGCCGAATTGTGAACCCTGGCACTATGGGGTGGGACTTGGGTTTTAGCTACTAGGCTAAACACTTGCCCTCACTTATATTAACTTTTTTTTTTTTTTTAAAAATTTAAGGTAAACAAATTTCATATTTTCCATATATGCAGATTTAGGACATAGTGAAAGTTCCTACGCTACCATCCCTCCCACCCAGGCTCCCACACTTCCTCCTTTTTCCTTTCTTATTCCCTCTCTTAATTTTTACAATGTTCTGCTCTCAGTTTACTTTATACTCGTAAGATTAACCCTACACGAAGTAAAGAGTTCAACAAATAGTAAGAAGAAAAAAACACCGTTCCTCAACAGTAGAGACAAGGGCTATAAACATCACCAAATCTCAAAATGTCAATTTCACTCCTATACATTACATTTTTTAACCTTGTACATTTTTTGTCTGACACTATGATCCTTTGCTGGTATGACTTTCCTTTAGTTTCTGTTTTTCTTATATATCCACTTGTTTTCCACCTTTCTTTGTGTATTACTTCACTAGGGCTGCCATGACAAAGTACCACAAACTGAATGTGCTTTACAACAACAAAGATTTGGAGGCTGGAAAGCATTGGAGTTTTCTGTATTATATACACATCACTCCAGTCTCGACCTCCATGGTCTCATGATGTTCTTCTCTGTGTCTGTGTGTCTTCTCCTCTTATAGGGACATTAGTCATATTTGATTAGGGCTCATCCTAATGACTTCATTGTGATTATAACTGAAAAAGTGTATTTCCAGATATGTCCATATTCAGAGGTTCTGGGTGGTAGGAATTCAACCTATCTTTTTTGTACGTGAGGAATCTATTTTAATTCGTATAATTCTGTCATTTTATTCTTTGTATTTCCTAGAAACAACAAGTAACATCTGGATTTGGTTTTTGAAATAGCTAGGAAATGTCAAAAATAATTTTCTAGGGAAATTTAACAAATTTACTTATATCTAATTAACTAGTATATTGGACCATATTCCTTCCATCCTTACTCCAGGTTTATCTGTCATTACTTCCATTTAAAGTTTGCTATGACATTTTAATCAGCTTTTTATAACAGTGGTTGTGCCTCCACAGTATCCCTCTATCCTACTTGTCTTATCTTTCAACTGCAAAATAAACCTGTGCTCTGTTAATTGCTTGCAATTTGTCTCTTGAGTAATAAAATGCATCATTATGGACCTTGCTTTTGGCATGTGAAAAGGCCTCTTTATCCTCAGGTATAAATTGAAGCAAGCTGTCCCCACACAAGTGAATCGCCCTCTGGCCCTTGTGCATCTTCTCTCCTC